TCTTTCCTCCTTTCTATAATGTCCATTATCATTTTTGTCACCTGCCAGGACATATGCTAGATATAGCAATGAATGAGACAATTGTGAGAAATAAATATTTGCAATTTGCATGTCACTTGATTCATGGTGTTTTTGTTAGAGCAGCTCAAACAGACTGAGACAGGTATTGTGCATCAAGGATTCTTGACCAAACCACCTGGGTTTGAATCTCAGCTCTGCCACTGTTAGCTATGCCACTTAAATTATTGAGACCTCAGTTTTCTCATCTGTGAAATGGTGATAATAATGACATCTACGTCATAGATTGTTGTGACGTACTCAGCATGCTACACATAGTATAGCAAGTAAATGCTGGGTCAGTCAAATAAACAAATCCAAATCATATGATTGTGGGGTCATATCAGAACTCAGATGCACATTACTGGCCTCCAGTGTACAACAGAGACTTATGGTCCAGAAGTATTCATGATTTTTATGTGAGAAATTTATAGTAATTCATAAAATTGTGAAAGAAGATATGAGAGTCAGTAGAGTTCCTTAGAAAGAGATAGGACTTGAATTAGGGAAGGTCTGTGCTAAGCCCAGAACCAAGTCAGGACGTTCCCAGAACTGTTTCCACATCTGCAAATGAAGATGACATCAGTTCTGCCTTGGCATCCACTGGCTTGGTTTGAGTACCTAGTCACAGATTGAACTGAAGCCATTTCTTCTCCTGATTAGCTCCTACTATTACTAAAAACAGTAAATTTACATGTGACATTTTCTGCATTCTCACTGATTTCCTTGACATATTAACAATACTAGGTATCTGAACATATGAAGAGCTTTCAATATTGATTTATTCCCTGCCACAATCTAATAATAAAACAAAAGTTACTCATACAAGGATTGATATCAAGAACGCTTTGAAATTTAAGACAAGGTGTAAATTGCTGCAAAGGGTCTCTTTAATTGGGATCAAAACATTTTTGACAGCTTTTGAATTTTAAAATTCTAGCTATTGTCACGTTCTGCAAATGTTTCTTTTCTTGGTTTGGGAAAAAAAAAAAGTACAGTCAAGCTTGAGTGCAGGAATATTTTAGACAAGATAAACAACTAAGATTTGTCACTCCAAATAACAAAGACCCAGCTCCTTGATATGTAGGACAGAATACTTAGATTCTTATCCTGCTCACTTCAGTTGGTCCCCTGCTGGGCGATGACAAAGGTTTAGTAAACTGTTCCTGTTCTTAATCTCAGATGCAGGGTTTGAAAAACCTCCAGTAATCTAAAAATAAATCACATCGATGGGTATGACTTTAAGGGAGAAACAGAATCAAAACACTGGTTTTGGAAATCAACCAGGATGTGTCTTCCTCTACCTACCTCCCTTCCACAATTGTCCCGTCACATGGCTATTGCAAGGACAGTCCCGGTGACAGGGAACACATGTGCAGAGGAGGTGGTTCACCTAATGGTTGAACAGCTCTGGGACACAGACGGTTCTTCCTACTGATAATTTTTTTTCATGAATTATTTTATTTAATGTAATTCTTACATCACTTTTCATTTTTGCATGTATGCATTTTCATTTTGGTTATATTCCCAATACAACTCCCACCCCCTTTTTCTGACCCTAATCCCTCTTCTCCTACCCCGCCCCTCACTGTAGTGTGTCTCTGGTCTACAGTTGCTTGTTGATTTTGATTTTTACTTTATTGCAATTAGTCTTTCTCCTGGTCCCTTATTTAGGTTTCCTAAATCCCTGCTATGAGTGAGACCATCCAGTATTTTTCTTTTTCTTCCTGGCTTATTTTGCTGAGCATGATCCCTTCCAGCTCTATCCATGTTGCTGCAAATTGCATGAGTTTATCTTTTTTGATTGCTGAGTAATATTCCATTGTGATAAATTGAAACTTCCCCTTAGAAACTTCCATCACTGATGGTGAATCCTCTCACCCTCCCAGATATCTGGCCTGTACCCTAGTTCTTGTATGCATGAATAAATAAAAAATCTAAAAAAAAAAAAGAAATTTCACCAGTCGTGGTTCCATTCCCTGAGATCCCAAGAGCAATTATCTCCCCTACAACTCTGTAGAGAGGAACACTATTAATGTGGGATGTCCTGTTCTCTCCCCATCATCTCTGCTTCAGGCATAAATATGTTCAGCCCCAAGCACCAGCTTTCCCTGGACTCGTGTTGAGGCATGTTAAGAAGCGAAGGTTGCAGAAACCAGATGCCAGAGGCCTAATGTTAATCAAACAGAACTGGAGTTGACTATGCCAGACAGAAAACATTGAACTCGGCCTCCTTTTTGATTTTCCACTAGCGAACTGACATCCTTTCCACAAAGCCAAATGGCAGTGAGTCGACATAGTGATTTTACTGTTTTGTCTCTTTGTGTCAAACTAAAGAATAAAATAATAAGGTTTGGTGGTGGTATCTTTCTTTAGTCACCCTTGAGTGAGGATTCAGAAAAGGTAAATGAAGAATGTCAAGTATCTTTCCTCATTAGTTAAAACCTGGTGGCTGGGACTGTAATCATCTGGGCACAATCTATTTGGTGGTGTGGGACATGATGGAAGACAGAAGCCCAATAGCATAGTCCTCAGACAAGATAAAGCATCTCATCCTTTGCCTCACTCGTGTCCCTTGGTTTTTACCACTTGTCATGGTGACTGACACGCAAGGAACTGGGAAGAGATTAGAGATGATGACATAATACTGGGGCATATAAATCACTGGAAAGTATCTCTCAGTTCAGCTTGATCCACATTACTTAGTGCCTACAAAGGATGCTGAGGGATCAAAAATAGCCTCTAAGTTTCTGTAAGCCCAAAGCTCTCTGTCTCCTGGGCATTACCCCAGATCCCATGAGGTGACATATGTGCTGAAAATCCTGGCTCAGCATAGTTTCCAGTCCCCCAACACCCCAATCACCCACGTCAGAATATGGTTTGATTTGCTTACATCCTTTATAAAACTGTTCATTTTAAAACTGAGCATAGGTCTCCAAACTAATGTCTATCCAGGAAAAGGAAAAACTTCCTTGTTTTCAAAAAGCATACTTTTATTAAGGGAAGAGAGACTGACATTAGGCTCTTAATCTTGCTGTATCAAATACTTTTACCACTGCATACTTGTGCCCTCATTATAAACTTCCTTCTACCTCCAGATAGGTAAACCTTTTTCTACTAGATCAAGGTCAAGTACATTGAGTTTTGACCCAGTTCTGCCTCCTACATGCTGGGTGAGCTTGGGAACATCCCTTATCCTTACAGATAATAGGCACCACGATTAAGTGAAGAGACACATGCACTAACCTGCCTGGATTCTAATCCTGTCTTCACTACCACTCACTTTCAGGAAGTTACACGAAGTTTTATGTCCTTGATGTCCTCAACTATAAAGGGGAAATAATAACACTATTTTCCCTTTACAGTTGTTGTGAGGATTTGGATGTGTTGGTACTTATAAAGGGCTTATGCATGCCTGGCACATAATACATACTTGAGGAAAGAATTATTATTATTATCTCATAGGGCAAATGGTGAGGACGAAACAAAATAATGCATATAAGGGAACTAACACACACACCTAGTGTACTCAACAAATGGGAGTTATAAGCATCAGTTTTTTATGGTGGTAAATGATACCTAATATAAAATTTACCATTTTAATGAGGTTAAAGTGTACACTTCAGTGACAGTGAGGACACCACAGCGTGTGGGGATGGTTTTTATTTTATCCTAAACTGTACCTAAAAAACATTAAACATCCTAAACTCTACTTATTATTCACTTACAGCTTCCTCTACCCTTCACTAGCACCTACCATTCTACTTACACCTTTTCCAGTTTGACTCTGCTAGGTATCTTCTATAAGTGCAACCCTACAGAATGTGTCCTTTTGTCACTGGCTTGTTTCAGTGTTTATCCATGCTGGAGCACTGGTCAGAACATCCTTCTTATTGCTGAACAATTTTTTTGTTGTTGTTGTTTCTCCATCTTAATATTGATATTCCTGTCCATCCTTGATGGACACTTTGATTGCTCCCACATTTTGGATACAATGAACCTGGATGCATAAATATCTATTCTAATATTAGTTATTCAGGAATAATTTTTCCTTAAGAAAACCTATTTGCACTGTTAATTATCACCCTGCTACCCTGTATGGTATCCAAATGTGAGTCAGAACAAAAGCGAGAAAATAATAATGGAAAATGACTTCGGCTAAGTAACTTGGCTAGTTGAATATTGTTTATAAAGAGAAGTTCAAAGGTGGCCTTTGTGGAGGTATTTTATAAGCTATAAAGCACTTTCAGGAATAAAAGAAAAACAAATCCTGTCAACTCTCGCCTTGTTGACAAAACAGATCCTAGAATGTTTTTCTGTTCTTCCCTTATGGTCAACGAACGGGATCAACAATGTCAGGCAAACTCTGGGGATGAGCCTGGGAGCTAATTGCTGCTGGGAGGTTGATGAAAACACAAACTACATCTTTGGAGGGTTCAACAAACATATCAGCCCTTACATTTCCTGGCCATGCAGTGATAGATTTTTTTTCTAAGATTGAGAACTCCATTTATTCCTTTTGATTACAGCAATTGCAAGGTGCCACAGGTTAAACTCAAGAGAGTCTGGATGCATTGACTGAGTCAAAAGACCTACATGTGTCTCCCTCTAGGACGCATGTCATTAAAGTTGCCAACACAAAGAAATTTAACTTAAACTGTCACATTACCCACTGCTCTTCAAAGCTCATCAATCTCCCGTTAGATTACCAGGGCTGTGTGACACTTTTATCACAATTACACTATAAGAAACACGGTGCAGTCACACTGTGGCCAAGCTAGGGAAGAGCCTGTCTTTGATGGACGATCACAGTTGATCAAGTTTGTCAGTTGCTTTATGTGTTTTTATGCTTGTTTGATATTCCTGCCTAGAGAGTGGAGGCTTTTAAGGGCACATCTGTCAATGGATTCAATTTCACAATGCCATGTGATTCTTTTACTTACCCCTGTCTTCTCATCAAAGATTTTGATTCCTCCAAAGGAGATGGTTAAAAAGATTTTCTGTTTGTGTTCTCCTTTGGAACGAGCGCCAGCAACAACGCCCTGTTGAAAGGAAGGACGTGGTTTTTACTGTAGTGTTTTCATTTGAAAATTCCCTCTGGTCCCAAAAGCGTGTCAGATACCATCAACCAATGCCACCAATCACACACACGCCTTCCCTGAGCCTATCCAGGCTTCCCTGCCCAATGTGCTCACATCTCTATGTTTTAGGGTAGCATTTGTCTTAGCTGCTCTGACACTGTAGAAGTAGATATGTGAACACTGATTCATTTGACTAATCAAGATTTATAGAATACCTACCTTGTACATAGATACTTGGTCCAGAATTGGAGATCCCAATATAAACACGGTCTCTGTGCTGAGTTTTATATTGGATATGGTTTTAATCTTTCAAATACAGGCATGTCACTAAACATATTCCTAAATGTGATTTTATTTTTATCCTTCTGGAAAAAGTTTCATCTGAATCAATTTTGGAGATTAGAAAGAAATGAAAACAAAACCGTTGCCAGCCTGCATATTTCAATTGTGTTTGAAAAAATATCATCATCATAGCTATGTGCCTATGGTTTACAATTTTCACCCACAGACATTTTGCACTTTCCAACACCCTCTCCGTAGCATTCCTGTGCTTTGGAGGCAGGGACCGATCAGATGCATTCCATTTATTAATATACCTGTTTCCCTACTTCTTTGAATTGTTTATATAAACCACAGATTTGTATGTGAGTCAATTAGAAGGTAAACTTCACAAAGTGTTGGGATGTTACCTTTCTTACTGCGTTATCCTTAGTGCCCCAGACAGTCTCTTGTGAGTGGTAAATTACTATTCAATAGATGTGCTACCCAGTGTCCCCTGAAGTTGTAGGATGCAAATTAGGACACTTACTTTTAAAATTTGCCTCTGTGGGGTCAGTTTCAGACAAGCCTGGTCTTCACAGTAGGGTAGGATAAGGACAAGGCTGTGTCAAGGGATTTGCTCCAGGGTTGTGCTCTCTCTCTGATGGTCAGAGGCTTCCAGCCCCTCATCACTATCACTTCCACAGAGGGTGAGATTCAGCCGAACTCTCAGCATTTAGAGTACAGAGTTTTTTGTTGTAGATGAGTCAAAATGAAAAAAAGAGAAACTCCACTTGCTACAACATGGATGGGACTACAGGAAATAACCCTAAATGAAATAAGTCAGAAGGAGAAAAGACAAACACCAGATGATTTCACTTATACGTGGAATAGAGAGAAACAAAGCAAAGGATCGGACAGAACCAAACTAATAACAAACCCTAGAAGTTTGGTGTGGAATTAAGGCTACCAGAGGAGAAGAGGGAGCAAAGAGCAAAGTGTGAAGGGTGTCCAGTGGACTGTGGTGGACTATAGGTGCCCTGGCGGCGGGTGTGCTGTGATGACATACATCTGAAGGAGTATGACCAAATAGATCTACATTATATGCACTGCTGTAAGCCACTGTCCCCTCAAAGAATAAATAAGGAAAACCAAATGGAAAACAAACAAAAATGACTTCATATTTCCAGGAGATAAAAGTAGTTTGTGGTGCTCTCAGAAAAGCAGGTATTCCACACCAGCCCCAGAGACTGACCGGCATCAGTGAGAATAGGTATGTTGAGAGGAACACGGGAGGGATGTTCTCTTAAGTTTGTTGAATTATCCTCCAGATATCCTGGATTATACCACTGGGTCTCTGTGATCTTGGACAAATTAGTTAATTTCTGAATTCCACTTTCCTCAGGTATAAATCCTTTTCTTGCATGCTTGAGAACTAAATAAAAATCTCTGTAAAGCACCGAGCACAATGTCTGGTACTCTGTATAATAAAAATTAATTTCTCCAAGTGAATGAATGGCTATATGTGATTGTGGTCAGCTCCTATTTGGGTACCTTCTAGTAGGAAATTCATTCCCTCATGAGTCGCTCATTCATTCTCAAGAGCCTCTTGCACACTCATAGTTCGGCAGATTGATAGAGCCAGAGAGAATCTGAAAGCTAATTGGTCCCAATTTCCCAACTGACAGAGGGAAAAAGAGATGCCCAGAAAGTGGATGGTCAGCCTCTGGAGTCACAGGGAGTTGGTAAAAATGCTGAGACTCCTACTCAGTTTTCCAGACTCTGTGCAGGGAGCAGGGACTCTTCCTTACACTGTGCCCTCAAGATTGCAACACACTGACAGCAGATCCTTCTCCAGTGTTTGCCCTCTAAACAGGCAGAGAGTGACTCACCTCCAAAGTTAAGTCTTTTGTCTCTTCTAAGTATTCTAAGTTCTTCCACGTGCTGCTTGCTTTCCCATGAATTCCATGAATTCAGTGAAGGAGATTTTATGGAATATGGTGGACAGGGTCAAATTATGTCTTTGCAAACCCCACTTCTGCTCAATGCCGTCCTGTCAGAGATGTTTCTGATCCCTCCACATCAAACTATATCTTTCTTCTTCACTTTTCCTCAAGGCACTACCACCACAGACACATATATTTGTTGATTTCCTAGGTTTGCCAAGTATGACAAAAGCTCAACTGTGCATGGGATTTCATTCTATTTGTTCTGAGTGCCCAGTGTAGGGAGTAGAGCCCTGGATCAAGAGGGTCCTCTAAAAGGTGGAGGGACTTTCTTTCTTTAGTCAGGCACTGGGCAAGCCAGCCTTGGAACCTAGGGATGCTTGGCTTTGAAACCTGTGTGGTTGGCTGGGTTTGGAGGAAAGTAACTTAAGTAACGTATGCTGTTGCCCCTCTGTACCTTAACCTTCAACCTCAGGACATATAAAAGGGAAAACAAAAGTAGATCCAGCAAAAATGAAGGGACTGGAGGACCAAGTCAAAGGGGTGGTATAGTTTCTTGTTTAGCTGCTTCCTAAATGACAACATCATAAAAGAAGGTAGGGGAATGGGTCCACCTTTAGTCAGAAAGATTTGTATCAATGCCTCATACCAGTCCCTAGCTTTTAGAATCACTGTGACATCAAATAATAATCATTTCTGGCATACAGTAGTGCTGATCAGGTAAGGCTCCCCTCTGCATCCTGGTTCCTACTAGCTGTCAAAGCCCTGCCTGGTAGAACAGGACTATCCATAAATGGGAAGAGAAAGAAAGAGTAGACACACATGTTCTTGGGGCATTTCTGCTTGGGGCTGCTGGTGGGTAGCACTGCATGACAAATGACAGACAGAAGGACTATCTCCATGGTGCCATCTTGGGAAAATGAAACTCCAATTTTGTCAAGTGCGTTTCTCCTGTGAAACAGGACCCTGAGTCAAGCTCTGAAAAATTGCAGGGTCCAGGCATCCCTGCCACCAGCCGGCAAGCCTCAGGGTCTCCTCTGCCCCTCCAGATTATTCTGCTGTTATGCAGAACTGAGCCAGGTCCCAGAAACAGCTCTGGTCAGGGAGTGAGAAGAAATGGATGTAGGTGCTGTTTCGGGCTCTGTGCCTATACTAGCAACCTTGGAAGTCACTGTTGGAAACTTGGAAATTAGGGGGCCAGACACATCTGTGGGTCACTACTATATGCCAGAAATTCCCACAGGTTATAATTTAGCCCACACTGTGATCCCAGACCATTAAGAATTGCTTCCCTTCTTAAACATGTGAGGAAACACAAGGCTAGGGAGTCAAGGGACCTCCCCAAACTTAGGGAACTAACAAGACCTAAGGAAAATTCAAATGGTTATTGTTTTGGTTCCCAGTGTTGGTGTTTCATCTATTATAATCCTCTTTAAGGACCTTTCTGAGAAGTATAGCATTAAAAAAAAAACACGAAACACTACAAATATGTCATTAATGATCTGAAAATAGCTGGGTGGAACCACCAGCTCCTAGACCCAGCCGTGTAGAGTGCAGGGAAACTGGAAAGTGAAAATAACCACATTTCTTACCTAATCAGAGTGTGCACAATGTCCCAACCTCACTTAGCAAGGTGTGTATCATGCAGGGTGAGCTCAGCAAATAACAGTTATCATGATGACTAGTGCTATTGTTGGTATTATTAGCAACACCACATGCTAGGCAGTGTGGGAAATAACTGACCCTCCAGTTACAAATAGACAGAGTTCTGACTGAAGAATTCATGCACACTGGCTGCCCCCACCAGTCCATAGCCTTGACACATTCTTGCCCAGTATCTCTGAGAGATGACTACTTAAGTCAGTGAAGCGTGGCTTATTGCTAGGAGCTTAAAATCCAGTTGGGGTACCAAGATAAGTTAAATGCTGATATAAAACAGGATACACGTAAGCATAAACTATTGTTATTACACACTGGGGACTTGGGGATCTGGATTTAAATTTGGAGTTTAATAGATTGAATGAATGATCTAGGGCAAATCCTTTCATTTCCACGAGCTTCGTGTTTCTTATTTACAAACAGGGGTGCTAATATCTATCTGATAAGATCAAAGAGAAAGTGATCTTGTGTGAAAGTGTTTTGTTGCCTCTACATTAAAACAAGATGATGGCAGTGCTTTGCTGGTGGACAGGCAATGGGGTCATTCATACTCCCGGTATGAATCCCTCTCACGGTATGAATCCCTCTCTACCATCCAAGGAAAATTCTCTAAAACAGGAACTTTAGATCCTTTAGGCAATCTTGCAAAAAAAAGGAAATAGAATATTTTTTTTTTTAGTTTCTCCTATGGCCTAATTTGTAGAAGTGAGCGTTTTTGTAAGGCTAAGAGGCATTTTGTACTTCTCTGTCTCTTCCTTTTCTGGGCAGGTGGCCAAATGGAGAATTGATCATTTATGTTTCTGTGTTTCCTAAAGAAAAACCACTGGAAGCTGAAATGTCAACATTCTTCTTGGCAACTTGTGAATAATGAAATACAATTTTCTAGGGACCAAGATCCCCTCAACAAGTTCAGTGCATCTGACAAGAGTGTGTTATGGTAGGACTAACTCTCGGGGCTTTGGTGACCTCACAGTTGTGAGGCGTGACAGATGGAGCACTTCAGTACGGGTAGTGTGCATGCACAAGTGTGTACACACACACACACACACACAGCAGACAGTCATGGTCAGGCCTGGTCCAGTCAGCCTTCGGAACACAGATTGAGTCTTGCCTCACATCCACCTAACCCATGAAGGCAGCTAGCCAGTGGGGTTCCTGGTTAGTGGGTGTCTACCAGTGTTCTGGGGAAGACTCATCAAATCCTCTCTCCTCCTCAGCAATCTTGTGGCTCTGGGTGAGAACCAGTCACTAGAGATTTTCTTGCTGTCTTTTAATTAATATTTGTCAAGAGCAAATCTCCATTAGCTTGACCATGTATTCAGTATGGAGGGGCTTCAGTAAGAATCAAGATCCTGGATTTTACACCCATCCTTGATGAGAGGTCCCCATGGAGAGGCATATGTGGCTTTATCTGAGTGGGGGATTTGAAGACGAGCATGCATGGCTCAGTGTCTTCTGGGAGGGGTTGCAGCCAGGTCTGATCTTCTTCATGAGTCACAGGCTCTGCTCTGGGGCCAGGAAAGGGTGGGGACATGGGGAAGAGCCAGCTCCCCACACTGCAAGCACAATAGCCCGTCTCTCCAGGATGCACACTGTGACCTTGTGTCTCCAGAGCAGCATTTATCAATCTTACAGCTGGAATTTAGATTTCTTCCTGTCAGATTCCTTTTTCTGTTTATCAATCAGATTTGAACTTGGCAAAAGAGGGCTCATTTTGGACTGCCCTAGAATCCTGTAAAATCGTGTAATATAAAAAAGGGTATCGCTTCTTCCAAAGTGATATTCTATGAAATCATAATTTTGATGTCTTCTATATTTCTTTCTAGATACCAACTCTTAAAGTTTGCTTATGTAAGTTACACATTTTTTTTTTTTTATTTTTAAATAGAGGCATGTTTTATTTATTTATTTATTTGTTTGTTCATTTGTTTTGTTTATACATGCACTGGGCACAGTCAGAAGCGCGGGAGGGTGAGAGAATTCACCAGAGCCAGAGCGGGGAGCAGAACAGGCAGAAGGACCGAAGTACACTGCTGAGGGGAGCAGCGGGTGGCAGGAGAGGTCTGCGCACCATGTGGGACCCTCCTCCGGTGGCCGGGGAGCAGCCGGGAATCGAACCGGCGCCGCAGAGGCTGCGGGCAGCTTCGCAACCCAGCGCTCTACCGCTGCGCCACCGGGGAGGCCCCAAGTTACACATTTTTAAAAACATAATGGATACACATTTTAAAAGATTCTCATTTTTAAAAATGATAATCTGTGCAGCCATCTCATGGGGAGACTTAGCATCTGATATCTGTGTTAAACTGCTGAGAGAAAGTGTGTCATATAAATACAAAAAACAGCTGTGATTTATTGAATCAAATCTGATTCAATCAGATTTGAACTTGGCAAAAGAGGGCTCATTTTGGACTGCCCTAGAATCCTGTAAAATCGTGTAATATAAAAAAGGGTATCGCTTCTTCCAAAGTGATATTCTATGAAATCATAATTTTGATGTCTTCTATATTTCTTTCTAGATACCAACTCTTAAAGTTTGCTTATGTAAGTTACACATTTTTTTTTTTTTTATTTTTAAATAGAGGCATGTTTTATTTATTTATTTATTTGTTTGTTCATTTGTTTTGTTTATACATGCACTGGGCACAGTCAGAAGCGCGGGAGGGTGAGAGAATTCACCAGAGCCAGAGCGGGGAGCAGAACAGGCAGAAGGACCGAAGTACACTGCTGAGGGGAGCAGCGGGTGGCAGGAGAGGTCTGCGCACCATGTGGGACCCTCCTCCGGTGGCCGGGGAGCAGCCGGGAATCGAACCGGCGCCGCAGAGGCTGCGGGCAGCTTCGCAACCCAGCGCTCTACCGCTGCGCCACCGGGGAGGCCCCAAGTTACACATTTTTAAAAACATAATGGATACACATTTTAAAAGATTCTCATTTTTAAAAATGATAATCTGTGCAGCCATCTCATGGGGAGACTTAGCATCTGATATCTGTGTTAAACTGCTGAGAGAAAGTGTGTCATATAAATACAAAAAACAGCTGTGATTTATTAAGTGTGTATGAAAGAAAAGACAATCAGAGGATGTTCACAGATCCTGTCTCATCTAATACTTGGAGGCACTGGTCAACCACGGTTTTTTGGGTTTTCTTTCTTTCCACTTTTCTTACTTAAAAAAAAATTACCCTGAAAGGGTAGTATCCTCACAAAATATGTGAAAATATGAAAATAATGTTCATAATATACCGTTAATGAGAAAAACAGGATACAAATCTGCATCAACATTCATTCCAATTATATTACATACATGAGTATAATTCTTATGATACATAAACTAATACAAACAGACACTTTAAGTTACACACAAAAATGCTGACACTATTTTTTTTTTTGTTATGGTAGGATTGTGGATTATTTCAGTTTTCCTCATAATTTTCAATATTTACAAAATATTTTAAATGAGCATTTCATGAATTCTACATTCAGGAAAATAATTAAATTATATCTCTTAAATGCATGAGGTACTTTGTAGACTTCTTGCTAATTTATTTTTTTTTCCAGAATTAAAAAAAAAAAAGACCAGTATATGGGGACAAACTATTCCCATTTATGTATTTTAAAGGCCATTTAGTGACTTTTTTTTTTTTGGTATATTTAGGTTTTCCTAATTCCTTTCTTAGCTATGTCAATGAAGAGATTTATTTAAAACATTTAAAATCAGGGCCTCCCCTGGTGGTGCAGCGGTTGAGTGCTGGGCTGCGAGACTGCCCGCAGCCTCTGCAGCACCGGTTTGTTCCCCAGCTGCCAGCGAGGGTCCCACAAAAAAAAAATTAAAATCAGAAATTTCATTGTGTTACCTCCAAAAGCCAATATTTAGTTAAGCATTACTTTAAAATATATTTTCCTGGTATCATTGTTTGGGGGACAAGAATGAGCAAAATCAGCTATTATCTTAAATAGTAATTTAATATTAAAATGTTAAATGCATAAAATTTATTAAAAATTTAAAGTGCAAAAATTTATAATAACACAAGTTGATGTTCTTATACTTCTGGTTTTGCAGGCATTTGTTGCACATTGAAGATAAAAATGAACATTATATGATATTCAAAATGGATCAAAATGGGCCTAACAAAACACCCCCACATAACAGGTGTTCAATAAATATTTGCTGATTATTAAAATCTCTTCCCAATGAATAAATACAGATATTCATCAGTGAACCAAGCAATTCACTAATAAATGATTAAAAGTTTTTCACCACAATGATCATAATCATTTCTTTCTCTCAGTCACAATAGCCCAAGGTATTTAAAGGGAAATGTTTGCATAGTACCTTGAGCTTCATCATGGAATCTTGACATAACTTGTCTCCCCGGGCTGCGGAAACCTCATCAATTCCGATCAGTTTGGCTTTGTACCGGACCCCTTCACCTTTAAACCTCTTTATCAAAGTGGCTTCACTGCGATCCTGACCTAAAATCAGAGAAAAGGAGGAGTCAGAAAATGCAGAATTTCAAGCCCCACTGGCTTTAAATATGTATAGCTCTGAAGTTTGTTCTCTGGTTTCACCTACATTCAGCAAAATTAGATAATCAGACCAAGTACAAAAGAATAAAAGAACAGTAATTTTCTGGGAGCAAATTCTGGTTCTCCCTTTTTACTCTCAAGACAAATTTCTTCTTCTCTCTGAGCCTCTGTTTTCTTAGACAGAAAAAAAAAAAAAAGAGTTAAAAAGAACTGATCCCAATGGTGCATTAAGATAAACAAATCAGACAACATGTGCAAAGCCACCTAATTCAGTGGAGTTTGATACACACTAGGTATTCAACAAATGATAATCACTCACTAAGAGCTCCTGCCTGGCATTCTTGTTAGAATAGTATTAGCACTGAGCCTCTCTGGCATTTCTAGCATTTAATAGAATGTTGGCCAGGGTCCAAGACTCTCCTTAAACCCAATTCCATGGGCTGTTTTATAGTGAGACTCCAGAGAAATTTCTTTGTATCAAGTAATGACCCAGCAACAATCATCAAAAAATGGTTTTGCAATATCTCTACTGCTAACGCAATTGTGCGAAGAAATAAACTTCCACATTGAATGGTATTATATGTCCATACCTTACAACAGACTTTTTCAATAATTATTAACAATATGTTATGGTGAGATACATCAAACAGAAGTTCAAAAACAGCCAAATAAAGAAAGGACATAAAGTTACTATGAATTGAGTACATATTTCTTGCCAGATGTTTACTTTATCTTCACTCTTTACCACTCAACCATTTACATTTTCCAGATGATGAAGATGAAGGTCATAGAATTAAAGTCATTTGTCAGTTGATATAGTCATGGGAAAAAAAAAGAATACATAGGAATTCAAGTTTCTAACTTCATCAAACTTTCATCATGCGAGTCAAATTGGTGAAATGCACATGTGCTCTTAAAAAGCCTGAATGCCCTGGCCTCTTGTTATGCATCTCCTAGAGCATCATTAACTCCAACTTCTGATCCTCCGTCCATCACGCCTTCCCTCATCGATTAGAACCTTGTGGTTGGGGACACTGGAGATAATTCAGCCCATTTCCCTCTATCTCTATGACATAAAAGCTAAGGCCTCTCCATAATGTGGCATGAGGATAACTTGAGGACATGCTTAAAATGGGAAAAACACCAGCCAGAGTTAACCATTGTTTATGCTTTTCTATTGACAAAACATGACTTGTGTTTCATTCACTTCATTTCTCCAAGCATCTCCTTTGTGCCAGATGCTATTACTCACTGGCAACAGATGAATGAGACAAAGTCTGTGTCCCTGAAAGCTCAAGTATTTTTGGTGACTGCAAATAAAAATATATAGTGTATTATGCTAGTAGGAGGGGACACACTTCAGAGTGAGGCATCCTCATTTCATTCGTGGCTCCCTCATTTGTCAGCTAACTCATCTCCGCTGAGATTCGGTTTTCTTATCTGTTGAAAATGTCTACCCTACAGAGTTACTTTAAGTAGTAATTTAAACGAGCAGCGTGTGGGAAGCACGTAGTCACATAGTAGGCTTTCTACAAATGGTAGCTGCTACCAAGATTAACAGTCCAGTAAATGCTGTATGTAGAAGATACAACACTGGGAGAAATGTCTGCAGAGCCAGGTGTAAAGCTGTGATTTACCATGTTTAGCCAGTACCCCCCTCAGTGACTCTTAGCCAAGTCCATGAGTAATATTCCAAAGAGCAAATGTAACAATGGATGTTGAGTCAGAAACAGTCATCAAGGCAAAAATTCCGCCTCAGGATTCAAGGACTAAAACTAAAACAAAGCAAAAAAATTGGCCATGACACACTCGATGCTGATATCCATTGTAGCTCAGCAATACGGCCTTGGGCCTACAGGTGACGGCTCCCCGCGTTACTATGTAATCCTCATAAGTGGTGGCCTAAGGTTTGGTTTATTTCTTAGAAGGTTATCTTATTCTATCACCATTTCTGGTTCTTCTTTAATGTTGCCATTTTAGTTACTGATATTATCCCTTTTGCTATTTGGAATGTCCTCCAAACTTTAATTACGATGACAATACCAAGAAGCATTTCTCATGTATCTACAAAGCACATTATATGCACCGCCTTATTTATTATTTAGCCTCATAAATAATCCTAGAGGTACCTACTATTATTCAGATTTTATAGAGGAGGATCTAAACTAAGGGTTTGAGAGGTCAAACAACTTTTCAAAACTTCCTAAGTGGAACCTGAGTCCACACCTGTCGGATTCCAAAGCCCAGGCTTGTGGTTTGCTTTTATTCTGTATTTTCAAATCTATTCTCTTAACTGCTATGATTAATTGCTTCTCTTTTACCCAACTTTCCTAGAAAACCTCATCTTTACCTTGTACAAAACTCCCCTGGTACAAATTTATTGCTACTCAATAGATTGGCAGCAGTAAAGCTCCATTGGAGAGACAACTTGGAAATGAAACAAACAGCTTTGAGCATCCACATCATGTCAGGAAAATGTCAATGAGTCAGATGCAAAGACAGCCTGAAGAAATATCAGTCAGGGTGCAAGCTCTATTGAGGAGGAGGTGTCAGAAGAGGAGGCAGAGCCAGATCAGGTGAACAAGGGCAGAGATTAATAAGAAAATATTAGGCCATTTAGAGGAAAGTAGGGAGCCCCATTTAGATTAGGACCCAAGGCTAAGCTAATTTGTATGAAGGGCACTTATGCAATAGATAGTAGAGTTTCTCATTAAATGCTCCACCATTAAAAGGGTAATTTTTCATGAGCACATCTTGAGCAAGGTCTCAGTTGTATTAGTTAAGAAATAAATAACAAGATATCAGAGCCATAAGGCTGTTTCATCAGAGGCACATACAATTTGAAGGTGTTAGGGTGAGGGTCAGTCTTCATGCATCCTACGTTGTCATGAATCCTCAGCCTATTTTGCCAAAAGCACTGCTGACTCTATGCTGCAGAATGGGCCAGAGAAAGGCCACGTGGTTAAGGAAAATCATCAACATTATCACTATCAATGAAATTTTATAATACCAGTCACTGTGCCAAGAGTTTTACATTTAATTCTCTCATTTAATTCTTACCCTGCTCATGAGTTAGGTTCCTCCATGAGTCTGTTTGATAGAAGGTGACTTCAATACCCAAAGCCTACACAGAGCTTACAACAGAGCCTGAATGATGACTTTATTGAAATATAATTTCTGTATCGTTCAATTTACCTTTTTAAAATATACAATTAAGTGTTTTAGTCCATTTATAAAGTTATGTAACAACTGGAATGGGTAAGGGGAGCTGAGCTTTGCATTCCTGGAGACTCCAGAGGATCAGTGAGATGACAGGTTACAAGATGCTCAGCCACCATGTCCTGAGCAAGGGAGCAGCTGGGAAGGGGGTGGAGCTGAGTAGCCATTTTAGTGAGCCTTTAAAAAGTACAATGCCATTGGACCTTCTCTCTCTTTTTGTCAATAATGTGAAAGGCAACCCTCCCCCTCCCCCAAGCCCTCTAGTGGGGACCTCCCAATTCCTACCTCCCAGTGATGGGGGGAGTCCCAACCTCAGCAGCGTCAGACCTCTAGAAACCACATCCCTTAAGAGAAAATCAGTAGCTGACCTGAAAGTAAGGAGGTCTGGACTCAGATGTGGGATGTGAGGATACCTTTGCATCTGTGACCAGAGTTAGTCATTTATCCCCCTGAGCATTCAGTCCCCCATATGATGAATGTTTCATAGAGAGAAGATGGTTCCCCAAAGCATCTCTGAGAGCTAACCAGCTATGATGATATTTAGAACGAATATTTAGAGTCTAACCATGAACCAGATCTGTATGGTAGAGCTTGGCTTATTGTTCTGGTAATCCTGTTGGGCAATGTCCATGTATTTTTAGATCTGACAACAGAAATTTTGAGAGGTCATGTTGTCTAAGTTGAGAGTGCCAGGTAAGTGCCAGAACCAGAATTTAAACCCAGGTCTGCTCATATGCACAAAACCAGGCTCTCTGGGGATGTGTGTTTGTGTGTCTGTGTGTGTGTGTGTGTGTGTAAGGTTATTATTATTTTTTAAATTTTGATAGATTTTTAAATTTATATTTTTAAATCTAATTGAATTATTAAAAAATTTCCAATTGTCTTGATTTTAGGTGTTTAGTTTCTCACCTTGTTACCTGCATATATCACTCTTGTTTTTATTTTTAATGATCTATCTGGATCAGTAAAATATTTGCATATATAATGAAAAATAAATATATTTCTGTATAACTATATATATACATGTACTAAAGACAAGCCACAGCAATATTACTCAAGCTCATTTTGCCTTAAAACATTGTGTTTTAGAACCAAACATCAATAGCTGTCTGATTATCTGTCCCTGTCCTCAGATTACCTGGCACACCCCAGGGGTGCTCGCATCTCACCATGTTTACCTGCAGACCTGATTGAGAGCTAACAATTTGAAAAATCCTCAGGAAGTAACAGAAAAACCTACAAGCACTGAAAGACATCTGGGGTTCAGGATGGTCCACTTTGAATTTTACCATGGCTCTCCCACAGGCTGCTGTCTTTCATGCACAGTGGGCATACAATGGGGGTACACATTCCTCACACTAAGCATGTGGAGGCACCCAGGAGTCAAAGGAGTTGTGCCTCCAGTGTCATCTCCTAATCCTGGCCCACAGCTGCCTCTGAAGAGATCTGTCCTCATCACAGTCATGCGCCAAGAGCCACTTCATCACTGCACGGCCCGACTTAAAATGCCACTGCTCTCTCCCCTCTGCCACGGCTGCCTCCCACTCCTGCTCTCTCTGTCCCCTTAGTCCAAACACTTTCAGCTCTAGTCTCCGGGCCAGATTTCTCCACACCCTTTGCTCTTGCTATTTCCTCTTCCTTTACCTGCCTTCTTGACAAGTATCTCAAGTATACCCTCAAATCAAATATACCTTCTGTTGAGAGGATTTTTTTGGCAGGAGATACCC